TGATGAATCTCTTATTTATTTATTTATTTTATGTATTTATGATAAACCAAGATTCCATTAGAACAGTAATAAGGTCACTTCTTTATTGCATGGATTGTGCCACCTTACAGTATATGTCACAGAGATTAATTAAAAATATGATACAATAATATTATACGATATGCTTCAATAGGCTTTTTTTGTGCCTTTGGTTTATGTAGATTACTTACAAGTGCACAAAATGAAACTTCCAGTAATATAATACAAAACTACACATATTCACTACACATACTCATGGGATAGTTACAGATATGTCCTGTTCTTGTCCACATCACACCCTATGTCTTACACCTTGGAAAGAATCTTGTTTCATGCCTGATCCATCCCTGGCAATCTTCTGCAGAAACGTCCAGAGTTTATTGTGTCCAAGAGAGACATCTGATCACATGGCTCGTGGTGATAAGTTTGACACCTCCATGAGGAAAATATTTCATCTATTGGGGTTGGGGAATAGAAAGGTGGAGGAAAAGTGACACTATCCTGGGATAGGCTAATAGGTAAACCATTTTGTGACTGGAAACATTGTTACAATTACAGACAATCCTGGATACTTCCTCACCTGGCACACGTCCAGAGGTGGTCAAGGAATGAAAATTGGCAGCCAGTGTTGTATGTCCCAGAATCTTTTTTTAAAATTTCTTTTTAGTTTGTTTGTTAGGATTTAAATGTAATTGTAACAGTTTTCACAATAGTATGTATGCAAAATGGAGTGTAAACACTCAGAGGTTTGGTTTTGACTGAGTTTGAGTGAAAAAACACAATATTAGAAAGATCACCACAATGAAAGTGATTTAGTCCACATGGACTGATGCTGTGCTGTGTAAAGAGTTTAAAAAAAGTGACACACTGTTTCTTGTCACCTTGCTCTCTCTCTCTCTCTCTGACGTGAAGTGTAGTTTTTTGCAAGAGGTTTCAATATTACCAAGATTTTTAAAAGGAGGAGGATGAGAGGGGGAGGAGGAGGAGAGGGGGAGTTGTCATGTCTTATCTGGGATAAAGGAGGTGTGAAACCCAGAGAAATCCTGCAGAGAGAAGCTGACACTGCTGCAACAGGAGTATTTACAGTATTTGTATTCAGAGAGACAACATATTTGTACTTATTGTAGTAGGTATAGGTGGGAGAATTGTATTTGTTGTTATTGCACTTTTAGTTACTCATTGTTGTAATATTGCCTATATGTTGGTAGTTTTTACACCTATTGTAATAATAGTACTGTGGCAGAGTGACTAAATGTAGTTCTAAAAGTATTTGTAGTATTAAATGCTTTACAGTCAACCTAATTGGCATATAGTTACGTTTAAGAACGTAATAAATTGTCTGTAAAGTAAAAAAACAGTTGAATAGAGTAGAATATAAGTAGAGTCCATAAAAATGCAGAACTACGAGGAGTCAGTGTCGTTCCTGGGGACCTGGGGCCCGTTCCAGAAGAGAGTCTTCTTCCTGCTCTGTTTTACCATCGTTCCATGTGGATACAACCTCCTGTCTGTCATCTTCCTGCTGGCTACCCCCCCACACTACTGCCACATCCCTGCTTACAGCAACCTGAGCCAGGAGTGGATTCAGGCCAGCATCCCAGTACAGGTCAGAACCAGTAGGAACTGTATCCAGGCCCTTTCAAACTGAAGGATTCAAGTGCACACAGGAAGAAATGTCACTCCAGTTTTAAGTTGCTCTCAATGTTCTCAATGTTACACACAGAACAACTTTCAGGAAAGACATAAAGACTGAAATAAAAACATCTAAAACTAAACATAGAACTAGTAGGTGAAATACGGTGAAAATTGGTGTTTAAGTATATGAAGTGGAGCAGAAACAACTGATCGATAAATCAAAAGTCAGCAGCTATTTTGATAATCAGTTAATCACTTTAGTCACTTTTCAAGCTAAACTGACAAATGTTTTGATGGCTCAAATTTCTCAAATGTTTCCATTCCTTGTCTTACGTCATAGTAAAGTGGAAATCTTTAGGTTTAGACTGTTGGTTGGACAAGGCTTTAAATTGATTTTTGTTACATGGATTTTTTTATGTTCCATTTATTAATTGCTCTCTAGAGTGACATGTAGAAGCGTTTTCTGATCTTAAGCCAGTAACAGCAGGACAATATTGTTTGTTTGTGCCTTCAAAAACGTTGGTCAATGTTTTGTTAGATTTTGCAAACTTGACTTGGTTAGGCTTGGGGAAAGATCATGCTTTGGGTAAGGGTCCTTCATTGTAATGGTTATGATAATAACATTAATTATTAATGGGTTAATTTGTTAGTTATGGAAGAAGCGTGGTCATGGTTTAAACAAACCAAAACAATCTTAGTTGGAAATGAAAAGCAGTCACCTGTGTTGTAGCCTGAAGTGGGATGTTTTTCTGACCAAGCAACCCATCCTGCTGTAGGTCTACTGTTCCCCCTGCTTCTTCAGGATGTTAACCATCTTCAACAACAGCTAATTTACCAGCATCACATGTACTGCTTCTAAAATCTACCTTCCCACACCCAAGCTATCAGACATGAACGGCAGAGTCACCACATACCTACCACTCACAGTAGCAAATGACACTGATCATCCCCTGAAGCGTCACTTCACCAGGAGCTTTGTCCCTTCTGCCATTACAGTATTCAACAAACTGCCTCTCTGACTATGTTGTGTGCTGGGATATATAAATGTATATATGGGGACTCTATGTATTGTCTTTATCGGTAGGTTGCTGTCTTTATATCTGTGTTTCTATGTTGAACTGGCTGTGAAAACAAATCTCCTTCTGGGGCAATTACCTATGATAACCTATAAATGATTCGGCCCTCCATCAAACAACCTGATTTTTTGTTGTTTACGCAGATGTTATTGGTTTTAAAGCAAAGTGTTACAAAAATCCTTTATTTTGGAAAACATTTGACAGTACTCACTTCTATGCTGACCTGTCATAGTAGGTCAATTATTAATAAAGATGGGTTTATAAACATAGGGCCAATAATCTATGAAAGCATCTTCAGATTACACTGTTGCAAGAGTTTCCTTTTCAATAAAGTCTATGTAAAGGACTTGAAAGGTTTTAAGGAGGGGTACAAGGCAGGGCTGCCCCCTGACTTCCCTACTGTTTGACTTTCAGTACAAGACTTACAGAACTTCATGTTGAAAAAGTCACTTCACCTAAATGTGAAACAAGAATTCCCACTCACTTACCCCACATGCATGCTATGACCATGCAGATAGTTTTAGGTTTAATTATCTCTACCCTGGAGATAAATCATTTCTTATCATCATCACATCACATTTTGGGATCTTTGCCACCTCAACTTGTTTGTGGAGCACAAAGCTGTGTGTTTCAAGAAAATACAAGTGAGAACTGTTTCTGTAGCTCACTGCTCCCAATGAAAAGGATTGTGAATATAAAGGTTATGGTAGAGGAAGATCTTCAAGGTAGAATTATAGAAGTGTGAAAATACTCCATCACAAGTAAAACTCATGCATTCAAACTCTTACTCAAATATGCAAAGTAGAAGTGTAAAAGTACAAAGTATAAGTGTTATCAGTAAAATGTAAAAGTATACTTGTTATGGATCTGAATGGCTGCTCTCAGTGTTATGTCATTGTATGTTATCTTATTATTTGTACTGATGCATAAATGTGCAAGAAGCATTTAAATGTTGTAGTTGGTCAAGGTTGAGCTTATTTAAATTACTTTATCTGCTGATGGGCAGTTTAATCTAAAAAAATATTGTATGTTGATTGTATTGATTTTTGATGAAAAATATAAATATTTAAAGTAAAGAGTAACTATATCTGTCCACTAAAAGCAGTGGAGTAAAAAAAGTATAGAAGTATAGAATAAGTATAAAGCAGTGGAAAATAGTAAGTAGTACAAGTACATCAAAACTACAGTATTTGAGTAAATACTAAATTAGTTTCTAGCACTGTTGTATACAGGGTTTAAGGTACAGTTAAGTTATTAAGGTTTGGTTATAGTTTAGGTGCTTAGATTAATGTACAAACTACTATGGTTGAGGAAAAAAATACTATTTATTTTACCAGACGCCCATTTTCGAGTACACAGGACAACAGTAAAAATAAATTGTAAGCTAAGTCCTAAGGGTTCAAATACTTCAGACACAGTCAGCTAATAACTTACTGTTTATTTTTCAACTGGTCCAGTCTATGATCCTCATGCAGGTTAGAACTGGTCTAGTTTGAACTGATGTGGTTTGCTCTGGGGCAGTCCACCTCCCCAGACTGTTGTTGCATCACAAGTTGGAAACGAAGATGTTATTTTGTCCTGGTCAGCAGGTGGCAGGTCAGACGGAGAGGAGCAGTTGTAGCCGGTACAAACTGGACCTGGTGCGAAACCTGTCTGCACTAGGAACCAGACCCACCCTGGACCTGGTCCACAACCTGTCGGCGCAGGGATCAAGTCCAGAGGTCCTTGTCTCCAGCCTGAAGCAGGAGGGCTGTAAAGACGGATGGATCTACAGTACTGAGTACTACCAGTCCACTGTAGTCAGCGAGGTACTGAACTACTGCGATTCTAACTACTACTGCAGTCCTAATACGATTATTCTAACTGTTTCCATTAATGTGCCCCACTCCCTACCCATCTACTGTATATTATTTTCTAGACTCTAGCATGTTATGTAATGACATGCTAGAGTTAGAACAGCTGTAGAACAGCTTCTGCCTGTAAACACTGATGGATCGTGACCTCTCTCACTGGCCACCAATCATTGACATGCCCCAGATGACTGCAAGAAGCTATCATGAGAAACTGGAAAAGACCGGATTGGGGTCACCTCCGTGTGTCACCTATCTGTGTTGTGTAATGCCACAACATCTGCTGTACAGCAGCTGCGTTGGCTGAAACCAGAATTGAAGCACATGAAACTAGAATTGATTAATGAATCTGGATTTAACGTTTAGTTTAGATTATTTTTATGTGCAAATACAAAGAAGCTGAATTTCAATATCTGCTGTGATATTCTAAGCTGTGTGACATTTACATTATTTCTGCCAAGGTTTTGACTACTGAGTTCACTGAGGATACAAACTACACTTACTTAACACTTACTCACTTACTCATTGCAATTTGGACAAGAGATAAAAAGCCATCCAAGAAACAATCAGATTGTGGTAGAAATTAAGTATTACAAATGTAATATTTTGCTTTATCTTTAAGTTTCCAAAGCATTCCAAAGTTGTACTTTGACTGATATGTTTTGGGCCTCATTTCCTCTTTCTACAAAACAGTAAAGTGTATCCTTATCTTGTATATTGACTGTCAAAACAGTGTGCAGAAGGCCATATCTAGTGTGTAGTTTATTTAATTCACATAGTGAGAGATTTGACAAAAGATCTAGTTTTTTTCCATGTTTGTAGAGCTATTGCAGTTTGTTCTTCCTTGTTTGTTTTGGTTTTAAGCACGCTTAGAATGCAAAAGGTTGAAAGTAAGGACAAAATCGAAAGGTAGGTATGGCGTCACCAACAAGAGGGGCTACAGGCAGCCAAGAAAACAAGGAGGGCTCAAATAACATGGAAAATAGATGATGAGGTAGAGGCAGTGAAGGCTTCACCACAATCGAATCCCCCATCACACGGTGATGTCCTATAGCTCCAGACCGAAGACAAGCTGAGGTCACAGCCTCACAAAAACCAAGCAACTCTGAGGCTGTTGAAACCAGCAATCTGTACAGAAGGAGACCAGACCCTGGATGACCGGGCTCTGAAGAGCTGGACACTGAAGGACCAGGTTTTGTGGGACTGGACATTGGACAGTCTTTCAGGTAATGGATACTGAAGGACAAGCAGGAATGTGCCCGGAGTGGTTGGACATTCGAGGACCATCTAAGGACCTAAGGACTGTCTATAAGAATGTTGATACTAAAGGACCAGAATCTGAGAAAGTGGAAAATAAGAAGACCAGACAGGACTCAGAGGAAATTGCCCCTGTAGGACCCTGCCTAGCAAAGGAACTGATGAGCTCAATCAGGAAGAAGGGGTTCAGAAGCTTGGGCAAGAGACTGTGAGGAAGAGAGACTCAGGATGAACGGACAACCACTTGTACAGGAACACAAACATTAAGCATGTATAGATCAGGTTAAAAGACTCAGAGCCCAGAGGTACCTGATCGCTGGTGACCAGGGAAACAGATTTCTATGTTTGTTGTATTATTCCACTTTGCATTCCCTTGTTTGCTTTATATTTCAGTGTTTATGTCTGCTGTATTATTCCAGTTTACACTTTTATGACCACTGCAGAATCCATTGTCATTGCAGTTTAACCTGGTGTGCAGTGACCAGTGGAAACAACCTCTGACCTCTCTTGTCTACTTCCTGGGAGGACTGTTTGGATGCTTTGTCTCTGGACAGATCTCTGATCGGTACTTATCAGTTTCAACTGTTTCCTGTAGTTGTTCCTGTCAGCTGCTTCAGAGTTAGCAGAGATAGAATGTTTTGCCAAAGTACTGTGTGTCTTGTAGTTAGCTGTGAGCTAACCAGGCATTGACCAAAGAGATGGTCTGCTTCATGGAAAGAGAAAGTCTATGGCAAAACATCATTTTCATAGTTGAGTTAGCTGAATTCTAACGTCTGTACTATAATCTAGAGACCATGTACATACCCTACACATTCAAAAACATAAAGCTTTCATGGTTTGCCATTCACTTGGACAACCATAATGCAATCTTCCTACTTTAGTGTGTATCTCCTTTGAGATTAACATCTGCATAGAGGACCATATGTATTGCTGTTGTTACAACCATTGTTGTATTTGTATGTCAGGTTTGGCAGGAAGCCTGTACTGTTCGGTGCCATTACCATTATTAGTGTCTTCAGCAGTGCCGTGGCCTTTGCCCCGTCCTGGCCCGTCTTCATCATGCTCTTCTTCGTGCTGGGCATGGGTCAGATCACCAGCTTCATAGTTGCATTTGTACTGGGTATGGGATTTTAATTTTTTTCAAACTGTCATCTTTTATCCTCCTCTTCACTGGTTGTTGTTCTGTTGTTAATCTTTATGGAATCTCACTGGAGGACTGAATAAGACCATGTCCATGCTAATGAGGACAGATTTAAAATCCCTTCTTCTTCTGCCTGTTTTAGCCTTGTAAACATACATACAAAGCCAGAACTTTTCAAAAATGATCATGCATGATTGGCAGCATGTTAACCTTTCACTAACATCACAAACACAAGCTGTCAGTATTTTATACTTACGCAGTGATCTGACAACAGAAACAGAATTACAAAAACGCTAATTCCCTGATATTTTTTAAACACATTTTCTCCACAGGTTCAGAGATCCTGATTGGTTCAACGAGAGTTCTCTTCTCTAGCCTGTGCTTACCTTGCACTTATGTGTTTAGTATGATGCTGCTGCCTGGCACTGCCCACCTGGTTAGGAGCTGGAGATACCTGTCACTTATCATGGCCGTGCCAGGCCTGGCCTGTATTCCCCTCTGGTGGTAAGTTGACTTCAGTACACTATCAAAATATCTGCATTTTGTGTACTACCTGATTAATTAGTTTTCAGCTGTGATTTTTATGACATGAAGAAAAGAAATAAATATGTCAGGGTCCAGTTTATGAATTTGTTCAACTGTGGAATAATACCTCCCCCTGGTAACCAGATTTTGTACCTTCATGTACTACAAACAAAAGACTTATTTAGGCCATATCATGACTCAAAATAACTGTGTGAATAAACAAAACCCTTTCTTTCATTTCACTGGAAAACCGATCACTGCCTGGCAGCGCAATGCAAAGTCATCCGAATCACATGCAAGCGCACATTGCTGGGATAACTTTGTTACATGAGTATTATATATCTACTGTCTACCTTACAATAAAACAATTGTTGCTATGATAACATACCACAGTTCTAAAACAAAAAGTGCTGTGTTTTGCCATCTAATAAACCTTCAAACTCAGTAATGTCAATCTATGATGGGCCTTCCCTGCCCACTTGGGAACACCCCACTCAAGGAATGCCTTACTGCATGTTTGAAGTGCAACTTACCACCTTGCTTGAACATGCATCCTGCAGATATTCAAAAAAATGCATTTAATCACATGCATAACACAAGGCACATAGATAGGGTCTTCTGGCCTGGGTGGCGTTTTGGAGTCTGTATAACACAGATGGTTGAACCAGGGTGATCTAGAGTCCTTCAACTAATAAATTATAGGGGATACATTTTTGCACTGGTTGTCTTTCCACCAGGTTGGTTCCAGAGTCTCCTCGTTGGTTGGTGTCTCGCGACCGTTTGCAGGAAGCAGAACTCCTGCTGAGGTCAGCAGCTCTGGAAAACAGAGTCGAAGCTCCTCATGTCATCTTCTTCAATGTAAGAACCTCTAACATTAGCCTTGTTCCACATGCTAAAGGACAGTGGTGGTCGTACTGTAGTTTCTTTCTCTCCACAGGTTGCAAAAGCAACAAACCAGAAAGGACAGTCCGTCAGCTTCCTGGACCTGCTGAGGACCCCAAACATTCGACATATCACACTTATGCTGTGGCTCATGTGGTGAGTTAAAGCTCTTCAGGAAGCACTAGCACTACCAGTAGCATAGTCCATTAGTTTGTCCATTTAGAGGAAGATACAATATCTGAGCAACTAATTGTCCATTTCCATAAAATGTCCTGTGGATATTTATTGTCCCCAGAGGATGATTACTAATGATTTTGGCCCTCTGACCTTTCCTTTAGCACTACCATCAGGATACAGTTTCTGCTCTTACTCCAGTACTTCCAACATCTAATGTTCAAATTCGCATTCCTGCTTTCCAGAGGAGGAACCCTTTAGTTTTTAATGACCCTATGACCTTTCTCCTTGCAACACCCTCCAGATAAAACTTATTTTTAGCTTCACTAATGGCTAAATCATCACTGTGTTATTTTGCTCTGTCCAACATTTTCATATGTTGCTGTTGTAATCATACTGCTATAAGAATTGCGGCCTCTAAGGGAGGCTAATGTGTAGAGCTGAGGTTTGGTTCTCTTGTTGTTTGTAGGTTTTCTTTGAGCGTAAGCTACTTTGGGCTGTCATTCAACATGTCTGGTCTTTATGGCAACCCCTTCCTGAACTACTTCCTGGTTACTGCTGTTGAGCTCCCAGCGTATGCTACCAGCTGGCTGACAGTACGCAGTCTGCCTCGCCGGCGGTCATATATCAGCCTTATTCTGCTGGGGGCACTGGCTGTGCTTCTCATCCAGATCACTCTGCACAGTGAGTAAGACCCGGTTCCCCCCACCATTAAAAGCATGTTATGTTAGGTTCTCCAGTCAGTACCACTGACCAAGGTACTGGCTCAGAGCTTGAGTTGGTCCCTGGGCGCTAGGCCTATTCAGTGACTGCCCACTGCTCTCTTAAGCTACAGATATATAATTGAAATTCTTATTCATTTTTTTGAACAATGGATCCTTGATATCAGACAACAATAGACAAAAGCAGCTTGTCTTCTGCATTGAAATGTTTAAAAAACGACTACACCTATGTTATATATTTTCTTGAGCTGTGTTGTTTCATCATCCCAAATGTTTCCAACAATTTTCAAACATAGAGAAATCTGTAATTTTGATCAAGGTAAAGGTGCGTTTCATTTGGTCGCCTATCAGTGGCGTCATATCCCCTTTACGCATGCGTCAGCATTGTTTTTGTCAACCAGAATCTGTCATAAACTGACTCTATCCAATGTTAAGCCACAGTTTTATGATACACTTTTTAGATCTTGGTGATTTTTAACTATATATTTTAACCGGATGAAAGATTTTAGTAATCAGACGTATAGATGTTATAGAGTAACTTCGAAATAGTGAACAGTCAGTTGCTTTATAGCGGTTCAGTGCTTCAGAAATGCTCTGTTTCCCCCACCCCTAGCTCACAGCCCTCCTCCTCCCTACAGGTCATCCAACACTCACCTTGTGCCTGGTGCTGCTCGGTAAATTTGGCATTCTGGCCGGCTTCGGGGTGTTGTACACACTCACTGGTGAGCTGTCTCCCACAGTGATCAGGAACACAGCAATGTCGTCCTGTGCCATGTCCTCCAGAGTTGGGTCCTCTGTTTCCCCATACCTGATGCAGCTGGGTGAGACCTTTCACTTCACACATAATACTCTGGATAGTGTGTATATAATAACTTCAGTCTAACACATTTGTTTGAAACCGTTTGATCATGTGTAAAGTTAAGTGACTTTTAATGCTCATGTATTGGACAAATCTGTAACTCACTGATCTGGTCTGGTTTTGTTTCCAGCTGTATTTTGTCAGTTCCTGCCGTGGATCATTGTGGGTTCTCTGTCACTGCTCAGTGTTCTGCTCTGCGTCTTCCTGCCCGAGACCTTCAAAAAGCCGCTGCCTGACACCATGCAGCAGATGGCGCTCACACAACGGTCAGCCTGCACAGTCACATCACATTGCACAGCTTGCAGGGCAGGTTTAGTTCACTTTTATTACACTATTTAGCAACAAACCGCAAGCAGCAAGCCATGGACACAAGCATTTCCACTGCTGCCCCATTGCATGACTCAATGACTCAATACTTCTGTGGCTATGCTGGTGAATAGAGAGAAAATGTAGGTACTCTTAGAAATCAGCCTTATTTTACTGCAAACCTCAACATGAAGTGTCTTAATACAGAGTCAGGCCACCACGAGCGTCCACAGCAGCTTCCGCGCACCTTGCCAAGTCTGCGTAACTCTTTTGGAGGGATGAACACTATTCCTTCACAAGATAGTCCCTCATTTATAGCCTTTATTTAATCAGGTAATCTAACTGAGATCAAGATCTCTTTTGCAAAGGGGACCTGAGTACAACGTACACAGCCAGACATTAGCATCAGAGACAGACATTATATAATTTGATCTTATGGAGATGGTGGTGGAGATCACTGTCTTCTTACACACTGATTCAAAGTCATCCAGTTGTGAAATTCGTTGAGATCTGGTGACTGTAAAGGGTTTTCAGTGAACCCTGAAGCACTAAAGCAAATGCATTTGATGTTTCTTTCTCTATTTTAAGTATTTTTTCCTTTAATTTGTCCCCCTTTTGTATGTATAAAAGTAAAAAATACCAATATCAACCACATATCCATTACAAACACCATCCATCCGTCCATCCATCGTCAACCGCTTATCCTGCAGGGTCGCGGGGGGCTGGAGTCGATCCCAGCTTACATCGGGCGAAAGGGGGGGTACACCCTGGACAGATTGCCAGTCCATCGCACGGCCACACATTAATTAACATTATATAACAAGATGTATACGATGTAAAAAAAACCAAAGACAATACATTGTGCAGCCTAATAATGCATCTCCCTTCTTCTGGCTTTCAGGTTCAGGTGGCCATGGGCCTCCATGCCTGCTCCAAAGGATAGTGAGAAATCAGCTAAAGACCAGACTATGGCATCTGAGATCATCTGTGCAACTCACCTATAATATAATATCCTGACACTCAAACAAATGTAAAAACAAAACTCTAGACAGTGAAACGACTCAACATTTTGTTAGGATGGTGGCGTTTCTTCCCACCAGGTGGCGACTTGGACAGGACTTGCAGAGGCTCCAGTGATGCATTCACTGACATTTCATCAAAAGTAACAACAGTTGATATTGTCTGTTTAAATTCTCAGTCATCCAGGTCATACTTATCCAAGGTGGGTTCAAGTCAAGGGCAACTGGACTTGGTTGTACTCAGAACTCTTGAATGAGAAACAAAACGTCTTCAACCAACCTCAACCAGGTCCAGGCGCCCTTGATTTTAGGCCACTCGCTATACAGCAACGACTGTGGTGTGCAACAGCGAGACAACTAAGGCAACCATTGCAAAATAAGGAGTTTAACCAATGTAATGGTAGCAATGCTAGCTGTATCACCAATAAGGTGAATGTGAAAGTTATTTTTAATGTGAATTCTGTACAGACTCCAGGTGGAAAGATTATTTTGCTCCTGCAGCAGTAGCAGTGGTGTTAGCAGTAGCAATGCGAGATTCAGATTTTATAACATAAACTTACAATTTTTGTTGTGTGTGTGTATATATAAAGACGTTTTGTTTAATTTCACCAGTATGATTAAGACAAATATATGTATATTTAATGTGATAAATAAATTAATAAATCAAAATTAAATAAAACTAACTGTTAACTGACATGATCTTCAATATTTTTATTAATTGAATATGACTGTCTTTGTTGTTTATTGACTTTGTGTTTTCATATATAGGCCTAAAGCATTTTATTTATTTATTAGCACATAAATCTGATCCTGAACGTTGAATTATGCAGTTTCCGAGGGCACACGAACGCCTCAGTGGCCTGTCCGGCTGTGGCCCCGCCCCGGACACACGGCTCCAGCCTGATAAAGCTACCCAGGGTTTTACCGGAAAAGAGGCTACGAGCATTTCAAAATACAAGCATACAAAACAGAAATGCTTCAAAGCAATCTTTGAACACATTGGGGTGAATTTGAACAGAAACCCTTAGCTGTAAATCTTGTGAAATGCTCATAAAGTGGGGAAAATAACGATTATGTGTCAAACTAGCCTAACTCACTAGCAGAGCCGATTTTCTTCACTACTCTGAAACTGAACCTTCAAACCTCTCAACTGGAATGATCAGGCCGTAATGTCTACATCATTACATAATCTTGAGGCTTCTTATTATAGATGGGCCCTGTCTTAAAATCTAGTTATTGGAATATATACATTTTTTCAAAATAGTTACCACAAACGTATTGATGATACGAGATATGAGATGTTTGACAACATATTAATTAAGTTTTACAGCCAACACAGCTTTTAATATTCCTAGTATGGACACTTGCAGGCGAGGGACAAAAACAGATTGTGCAGAATTACAAATTTGGCTGTTAAGATTGTTGGGAAAGAGCAGAAACAATTGGGATGTATATATAAAACGCAGGTGAAACAAAAGCTAGACAAATTGCATCTGATTCTGTACACCCCTTGTTTAATGAATTTATCAAATTGCCCTCTGGAAGGTCTTTCGCAACAAATGCAATGATCTCTCTAAATTCATAAATATGTCTCTACACTGGAATCCTGTCCATTATGGTCTGTACTTTGTATGTTGTGTTATTTATTGTTTTGTATTGTGATTTTAAATGATGTGGTGTTTCATCAGCCTGTGAAGCCAAAGACAAATTTCCACATTAGTGGAGAAAAAAATATTTCCTTCATGTCAAACTACTCAATGCTTCACTTGCGCACAGGTAGGTAGAAAATGAAATTATTATCCGTGCTTATTACAGTCCTGCAACAGCCACAGATACAGGATTTTATAAAAAAAAATTCAGTTTGTTGAGTGCTGTCCCAATGTAAAGAGAATTTCAACGAACACAACAAAAACGCTTCTGACATAAATTGTCTAGACTTTCACAGTCTTTGTGAACTTAAGCGCTATCATCAGGCCAATATCTTCAAATGTCCAATATTTTGGTTCGTCCAACAGCTTGGTTTTGTGGGACCACTACAGCCATACAGGGCTGCCATATCATGACTGTAAACTCTAATCTTGTTTAAATTATATTTTAAACTACTACACTCTCTGACACCAAAGAATCCCACAACTAACTGAAAAAAGATATCTGATAGGCCTATAATATTATGGAACAAAACAAAATAAGATTTTCTCTCTAAAAAAATATAATTAAAGACAAAATCGTACAAATTGTAAATAAAAATAAATTTGGATGAGAAAGCTAAGAGAAGATAAAGAAACTGTTCGACCACATGTCCGTGATGCCTCCAGGCTTTTATTTGGAAAGTCGCATTACCGGAAGTCGTATTCTTTTATTGTGCTTCACTGAGGCTGCGCAGAGTAGCGAGCTCCACCGCCTGCGTTCTGTGCGTTTCCACTGTTGTTGAATGCAAACGGAGACCAAACTGAGATCTTTCGTGTCTTTTTTTAATGGAAAACAATAATATCTCCTGGTAAATCGGCCTGAGAGGAAGAAGAAGAAGACGAGGAGGAGGGGGAGGAGAAGTGCTGCGGAGGAGAAGGAGAGACAGAGGAGAAAAGGAGGAAGACTGGGAGAAAAAAATCTGGACAGTATAATGCTGCAGATTTGACTGAAAGGTAAGAAAATCCGCCTGATCAATATGTATCGCATTGCTCATTGATCCCAAAGTTGTCGATCTTGAGTGGATCGAGGCTGAGGTGGGGGACGTTAAAGACGCAGCCGCCGCAGCCTGCAGCTGCTGGATATGTAGGTCATTGTGTCTGTGGGCCGAGCCGAACCAAGCCGAGGCAAACCGAGCCGGGCCGTCCTGCAGCTGCAGCCAGGCCGCAAGCAACCCGAGGAGGAAGAGGATGAAGCCCTGCAGCAGGACTGACTGACTGGTGCTGCAGTAACCAGGCTAATTAATAATCACAGATGCAACTGGGCTACTATGATTACTACTACTACTACTACTGATAATAATAATAAAAATAAGAATATTTGTATCAAATAACGAACTTATTTTGAAATAAAGTTTAGCAGAATTGAGAAACACTAACAACTTTAGTAACTGGATAAAAGTAAATATTAAAAAATGTAATGGTAAATTATTAAAGCCCCTGAAAACTTGGTTTTCCAATAACAATAAATGTTAATGACTAGAAAAGCAGAAATTAAATGTAAGTAATTACATTATTTATTAAAGAGGTGGTATTATGCTTTTCGGCTTTTCCCCTCTCCTTTATTGAGTTATACCTTATTTGTGCATGTAATAGGTTTGAAAAGTGAAAAAGCCCAAAGGACAGAAAACTCTGCTCTGAACTGCCTGAAAACAGGGCGTTTGTTGTCCAGCAAAATGCGCCTCATATAAGCTCGCCAAGCGGCTAGTCCGACACACCTCTCCTCTCAAAACACTAGCAACCCTCCAGGCAGTCAGTGGACATGAAGTTGTTACTGTGATGCAGAGCTCAGTTAAAACTTTATGGATGAAAGATACTTTTGTTACAGATTAATAACTCCCCACTCTGAAAGTCTTGCTCCAGTCCATATTGCCAAGCTGGTCAGCAACACCTACAGCTGAACCGAAGCTGTGGCTTCTCACTGACCCACCCTTCTCTGCTTCTGATTGGCTAGTAGTCCTTAACTAGGAACTGCGCATTTGCAACTCCCAACAAAGATCATTTAGAGACAAGATGTATCACTCCGTAGCTAAAACGAAGCCTTCAACACAGGGTGAAAAGAGGAGCTGCAGCAATGTGCAGTATGACAAAAAATATGGTGTTTTTTGAAAATTAAACCATGTAAACCTGTTCTGGTACAACCCCTAAATAGGATTTTTAACCTGAAAATGTGCATAATAGCTTTTTAATAATGTCACTCTAAAATACTCGGTTAATCTGCTTCACCAGGAGTGTGTGGGTGTGGTTTGTTCAGATTTGATTATGTTGATTGATTGACATCACATTGTCATCAGATTTTAATTAAATTTCAAGACAAGATCAAGTCATACATTTGTCAAACCAAACTTTCGGCTGAAAATGTTCCCATCACGCGTAGTAAGAAGGTGATTGAGAAAATAGGTTATGAGAGTCTTGAATACCAAAATGATACGAGCGTGAAGGCCATGGACATGACTGCAAGTTAGAAGTTAAAATAAAAAGTTAGTCCTTGATTCCTGCAAAATCATGTCAAGAAAGTGTGTCAGGATAAGATGCAACCTATTTCAACTGGAAGGACATTTTTGTGCCTAAGATTCTCAATATACATACTTTTAAAAATAGCATAAATGTACTATATGTACTAAATGTACTACACACTAAGATTTACGCTGTAAGACACAGAAAACAGGCAAGTTTTCTATATTGGTTTCCTCCTGCAGTTCAAACTGGTTGTATCTAATAGTTATTTTCATAAGCAATTAATCTATTGGTTACTTAACTAAAATGACAATTAATTGACAGAAACTTAAAGTGAAAGATTTACTGACTGGCAGCGTTGACTGCACTAACACACTGATGATGGTAAATCACAGACTGATCTGAATTTGAAGCCAAGAATCTGAATCTGCTGGGAGAAATGCCAGCTGAGAGAAAATACTTGTGGAAAATCACTGCGCTGCCTCTATAATATTCATTTAATGCTTCAGCAGGGGTTTGTAGTGTGTCTGTGCTGCAGCAGTGTTTAACAGTGATCCGATCGCAGTTGTCTTTATAACCTGTAATATGATATAGGATGATATTATACTACTGTGTTGACTTGCATGTGTTTGTCATCTATGCAGTGAGAATACATTGCTTTCTTGGTATATTTGACTTATATATATGTGTTATATTATGATAATTATCGCAATATAATTTTCCTCAATAACAATATTACAACTGTTGAATAAATGATTGTGATAAATGATGTTTGATTTAATTCATGAATGAATTAGGACTTAATTTTTCTATTAAGATATTTTGTTGAGGAAAAAGAAAAAATATTTTACTTAATTTTACTCATATTCTATTATATTTCACTGCATATCTGTTGAAAAAAGATGTGTATATAATATTTATTCTTTTTCCTCAACAAAATAAATATCTTTAGAAAAATTAAGTGCTAATTCGTTCATGAATCAAATTTGAATGAAACATTTATTCAATAGTTGTTGTTATTGCGGAAAATTATATTGCGATAATTATCATTATTGTTTTCTTGACCAGCCGTAGTCTGAGGCTGTGGACTAGTCTGTGAGAGCATAAAGGCTTTGTAAATATTTAAATTTATTGAAGTAAATAAGAGGCTTAAGCAGTCAGAGTTAGCCAAGCCAACTATGTATTTTTCCAAAATGACTTTTAGAACGACATTTGTTTTTTGTGTTACTATTTCTCCACTGTAGCTCTGTGAGGAAACACAGAGCAGGGAGATAAAGAAGGGATTTCAAACTAACAAGACTCTAACTTCGACTGCTGGAGCCTCACAGCTTCTGCTTGACTTTAGATTTTAAGCCAAAATGGGGACTGTAGATTTGGTACCCACACTCTTCACTGGCAGGAGGAACAACTACAGTCAACAAACACTGTCTCGATGGCATTTTAATATAGACTTCAAGAAATGTGAACCTATCTTTTGATTGTTGTGCGTATGTGTGTCTACAGATGTCCAACGTCAACATGGAAGCGACCAACATCCTCCCCATCCTCAAGAAGAAACTGGCCTTTCTGTCAGGTAAAACACAAAAACCATGAGACAACATGTCTGCATGAGTTTCATCAGTGTGAGGACTGTATAATCTCATCTGGTCAGTAAACAGATATCTCCCCTCTCTACTGGTCTGTTTCTCCTTAGGGGGCAAAGACCGGCGAAGTGGTCTGATCCTGACCATCCCCCTCAGCTCAGATCAGACCAGCATGGAGGAGCTCAGCGCCACATTGGACTACCTGCTCAGCATTCCCAGGTACACACACACACAGGGAGCAGTAGTCTGTGTACAGTTATTTTAACAAAAGACTGTACATGTTTGCAGTTTACTTGTCACTGAAGAGCTGCTGGGTCTGTACTTTGTATCTTGGCTCCAGTGTAAGAATCCAACGTGTTCAGCTGTAGTAAAAAGGCTTAAAGGATGATTCCAGTTTATTACAACTTGGGTCTGACCATATTGGCCCGAAAATGAGACGATCCTGATTTAAAAGGTCACCCGTCCCTTTCCAACAGCTTTTTGAAGGCACAAACTCTTTCACATCAGGCCTGTCGGGAAAGTTCCCCCAGTATACTAACGGAGAGTCCTCATTCTGAAAGACTTTTCTCACGTAAAAGTGAAATACTTCCAGTAAAGCATAATGTAAAGCTATTTTTTCAGTTGCATACTGTCACTACCTCCTGTCAGGCTCTTGGATGCAGTCAGAATGATTTTTTGTGTGTGTCTAGTTGATAGCATTTTACAGTCCTTTTTGAGCTCCTCATCATGACGTTCTCTAATGATAATTCTTGGCAGCTTGACAGGCGAACCTGTCCCATTTCTGCAAAAAAGATGTCGGGAGATGCTTTCAACTTGTTATCACTCACTCACTCACTCACTCACTCACTCACTCACTCACTCACTTACACAAGCTGTTTTAAACTCCTGTTGGTAAAACTGGGCTTCATAACAACCTTTAAGACTGACTTAACTGTATAAAACAGACTAAATGGACTTCAAAAACTCACTAGCAACATCAAGGCTGCAAACAACCCATGATGCAACACTCTGCCCTGTAGGAGCTGGTGTTACTCAAAAATAATTTCTGATGCCATGAATACATAAATGTCAACTTTTTGTCTAAATATTGTCTTGTATTTGGGCCAGTGCTGTATTTTACATCTTGTTTTTGGAATTTTGTTTATATTGTACGATAACATTGACCAGAGCACACAGCAGCAGCTTGGTGAGTGTGTTATAACCAATAGAAACGATATCACAAAGTCCATAAAGTAAGTTGTAAATAACTTGGATTATCCTTTAAATCCTTACAAATAAATCTTGCCAGTTGTTATGGTTTGAAGTCTGTTAGTGTTCAGAAGCTCTGACCTCCTGTCAATTTGGATGGGCAACCCAAATACAGCAAAAAACTCTGCATGTAAATGTTTGTCTATAAATCCCCCCCCCCCCCCTTAGTGAGAAGTGCAAGGCTCGGGGTTTCACCGTGATCGTGGATGGACGAAAGTCTCAGTGGAACATTGTGAAGACTGTGGTGCTCATGTTGCAGGTACAGACACATAATATGGGTCCCAATAATGGCATACGTGACTTCATTACTTTGTCAGGATTCTGAGGATGCTGTTTTTGCTGTTTCAGAATGTGATACCGGCCGAGGTGTCGCTGGTCTGCGTGGTGAAGCCAGATGAATTCTGGGATAAAAAGGTCACACACTTCTGCTTCTGGAAGGAGAAAGACCGCCTGGGCTTCGAGGTGAGTCTCTCAGCTGCTGCTCGCTAAAACTTTTCAGGAGGAACCAGCTTCAAGTTTTCTTTTGTATTCACTTTGACTCTCCAGTGCTTAGAGAACTGACTTTGGAACTAGAGATTTTGGGGGATTTTTTGAATTTGTACTTGTGGTCTCCCCGTGTTTCCACTGTGTTTTACAAACTGTGACATTACAGATGTACAGTTTGTCGCTAAAAAGGCAACAGAGGGAACAACTATTTACCTTTTTAGTCATGCTATCTGCACGGCTATAGGGATGGCAATGTCGACAGGGCAGTCAGTTGGTCCACCACTTTGGTCCAGATTAAAACATCTCCACAACTAGTGGATGGATTGCCATGACATTTTCTACGGATCGTCCTCAGAGGATGACTTTTCCTTCAGTGACAACATGAGGTTTTGTGTGAAATGTCCAAACAACTAGTAGATAAATGCTAGGGAACGCACAAGCATTTTGATCTCTTACTTTTCTTTAATCTTGTCTCATCTGTTTAATATTTTCCTGTACTGTTTGACTGCGTGTTGTGTCCCCACCTCTGCCAGTCGCTGAGAAATATTCTGGTCTACCATTTTGCATCCTTTCCCTAAATACTAAATGATTCTGTATTGTTGTAAACAACCTAGTTTGTATGACGTCCCACCACATCTAAAGGCAAAAGTGTTTAGAGCTGTTCTGAATGGCCATACTTTATGGCAGGGTGAAAAGTTGTCACAGAGAGGAGCGAGAATGGTTTTAAGAACTGTGTTCAATCCTGTCCTAATCCAATCCCAAATTTGAAATAACCTCAGAGACAAACGGTCTGTCTGTATTTCCAAGTTTTGCTCTTGTGAGGACATTTTCTTCCAAAACACACACAAACACACACACAGATATACACACTCTTGAATTGTGTTGTTACCTTATATATCAAACAGAGAAGCGGAACCATTTATGATAACCTTGAACTGAGTGCTGCGGGAAATCTGAGCCAGGATGGATGGAGAGTATGTGATTTTTGGCCAACCTCTTCTTCTATTACAACAGATGGTTTTACTGACAGAGATCACTAGTCTCTGTGACCCAGATTTCTGAAGCCACGTTGGCTCGACAGTTGTTGCCACGGTAACTGGAGCAAGTTGGTGGGTCTGTGGCAACCTGGAAGTTGCTGCGGATAGATATTCCATCATAATCAGCGTTTAGATTTTATTTTTAGTTAGTCAAAGTGGGGTTGACATCGCGTGCTGACAGCAGAGAGTGTTAGGAAAACTGTTCCTGTTGGTGTGTTCAAGGACGCTCCAACATTTAAGAGTCGAATGAACAGCACAGTTTTTTAACGCATCGTTTTGTTCTCAATATCCATGTTCTTAAATATGTATGTTTTTTGTTTTATTTCTGAAAAAAGAAATGTTTGATAAATAATGTGCTGGAATTGAGTTTGTTGTTTGAATCTGTTAGAGGGCTTCTCTTCTTGACTTTATTTTTAATATTTACACACTTCGAACACATGCTCGCACACAGCTGCAGGAAGGGAGATTCCAGTGACGCTGTTGAAATGTGACTCATCTGAACTATGGAGTGTGTGTGTGTGTGGGGGGGGATGTCACAGTGGGGTGTGTGTCGTACAACTGCTCTGAAGTCTGACCCAACATTTAAATAAACACACAATCAGTCACACAGTCCACTCTTTCTGACAGCTGGAGGACAGATGTACTACCAGTTGTCAGACTGTCCCGGTTTATTTGTAAAGCAAGCTTTCATACAAACGCAGTTCAAATTGCTTCAGTGAGTGATGAGACAATGTAAAAAAAACATTCAGTATGTTAACTTGTTGTAAGATTGTCTTTTGTAAAACCTCAGATCAGCTTGCAGGCTGTTCATGAACACTGAGTGCTGGATCTCCACATTTAGAAAGCGCTCTGGGAAGCTGAAGAAAGTTTGTCTTGTGATCCAAGAACTGGATTGTATCCTAGATATACAGTATATTCTGTGATTAGCACTGGCATTTATAAAACGTCAAATTGTTAGTTCTAAACTTTTACCTGTAAGTAAAAAAGAAGCAGAAACTTTGTGTAAAAACACTAAAAGTAACTTAAAGAAGAATCTTCAGTAACCCAGAACTGTTAAGAAAACAGAACTATAATTATGTCTACCCAAAATTCTGTCCCTCAACCACTGAATCAACAAATAGCAGGGCTCCAGAGGTAATGTGTCTGAGCTGAGTCACAGCCTCATGCATTTGCCCAACGTGGCTGTCCTATATGTGCAGTAATAATGAACAGTTTAAAGAAAAACACCTGCTGCCCATATTACAGCTACTCCAGTTATACCAATTGTGGATGTTTTGTGATGTCAGGGCTTCACAAAATTTTACAGAATAACTCCCAATAGACAATTACTTTTAGTTTTTTACTGAAATAACAGAACAGATGTGGGTGAGCAATAACATTAGCATTAAATGCTCTAAATAAAACCCTTAATTAGTCTGTGAAAAGCTGCAGGTAATATGTCCGTGCTTTTCATAATCAGGCTGATATTATAGGACTAAAAATAATAACTGCAACTGTGCAGCTGGAATTAGAAATAAGAAAAAAGAAGCCTTTTGATGAATAATGGTGAAAAGCAGTATTTTTATGATTGATTCATGATTTGAATTACACATGCATCTGATAATTATTAGTAATCGTTAGAGCCTCCAGAGGTGCTGATCATTCTGGTTTCCTTGAGTTTGCCATTATATGCAATTTCCACAGCTGATTCTGATCGAAGGGGTGTTTTCATCTGGTTAAAAAAAAAAAAGATACACCTGTGACTTCCTCTCTAGTCACTCTGCACTCTGGTTTTAGGGCCTTTCCGAAACTGCTTACTACTCCCTCTCCCTACCTTCTTCCACTCCGTTTGCGCGTTCATGCAGAGGGTCCGCAATTGAGTGCCATCCAGAACAAATGAGGGCGCGGTAGAAGTGGGTTGTTAAACACAAGTGAGCACTTGGCTTGTTGAAGCTGTGTAACACCCTTTGCTGCACGATGGGGAACTGTATGTTGGGGGAATGTAAGTTCTGTGTGATTTTGATGGTTGACATGTGGGATTTTTAAATTCCTACACTAAAAACTGGACTAACTAAAAAACTACACTAACATTTCATATCACCATTCACAGGTTAACAACGTAGCTCAAAGTTTGTATTGTGTTTATTAAAAAAAATGGTTTTGTCTGATAGACAATAAAACTGTTTATTGAATCATATTCATCTCATACAAATATCTTAATCCAAAACTAAATAGCCTACATTAAACAACAGAATTATAGAACATGGCACAACTAGATACACAAGGGGATCACATAACAAGTAACAAAGGCATTAAAGAAAAATAGTTAAGTCTTTATATATTTTTAAATTCTTCAGACTATATAATGCTTCAATATAATGTTTGATTTACTTTGAAATGTTGGTTTTGTGAATGTAATATATTTATATAAGATAAAGAGGTTCAAATATATAGTTTTTTTCCCCAATGAATATTATTTATTTTTTGTAAATATCTAAAGTCATGTTCTTAAAGAAATATTTGATACAAACACAAAATGAATGACAAATGCTTTCAGTTTTGTTATTGCAAAGAACACACTTTTCCCCAACATCAATCTTGAATCTTAATCTTAATACAGCTGCTGTTTATTTGATGCACATATTATAGCTGCGGTGATGTCAGATCCTATTTACACTGGAGGGAGAGGGTAGTTCGTCCTAAAGTTGGCCGCTGCATTTATACCCTAATCGGGTTAGGGAACTCGATTTGGCCGTGAGGGTGACTCCGACCAGAGTTCACTCTGTGTCGGAGTGGAAGTGGCGAGGGTCTAGTTTTGGAAAGGCCCTTGGGGTTTTGGAACATCCTTGATTATAGCGATATAGACTTTGCTCAGTTTTTGAGTCACTGGCTGTAGGATGGAGAAGCGAGGAAGCATGATTTGCAAAATGAATATCATTTCCTTGATTATGACTACCTATCATTCATTGTATCCAACATTATATATGCTTCAATATATATTGAAAAATGAAAGAGGAAAGTTTATAAACGATATTTCCCCCCACAGATATGTTGATAACATCAATATGCTGTTTGGGGATATATGAACCATTTGAAGAGAGAATCATCTGTGGAGGTCCTATGAAATGTTTGTGTGAGACCTAAATGTATTTAATAGTTTAATTGTTGTGTTTTTCCTTAAGAGAGAGCACAGGGATCTCTTAGTAAGCTGTAAGAGACGAGAGTTTTAGTCAGGGATGGTGACTGTTTACCTCTGCCGATATGGCTGTAAATGTACCTAGCTGTGTCGGCCAAATTACAAAATGAAACAATTTGTCGATGTTTGCCTTTTGAATGCCGGTTTCTCTGCTTCCTGTCAGGTGATCCTGGTTTCGGCCAATAAGCTGACTCGTTACATTGAACCCTGTCAGCTGACGGACGATTTTGGGGGAAGTCTGGACTACGACCACAGCGACTGGCTCAACAAGAGACTGGTCACTATTTTATTCAATAAATTCTTCTAAATTTGTTTGTTAACTTCAAATACTCGTTGTCACGTTAACCTTGCACCAGGTCTGAGCTCTTCTTTTGTTTGTTGTCATTTGTTCCAGATTTTTGAGAAGTTCACCAAGGAGTCGACATCTCTACTGGACGAGCTGTCGATTATCAACGACACTGACAAGAGCAGCTCGGTAGAAAAAGACAAGTATGTACACACACACACAGCTACAGATTAAAGTGTACTAAAAGTAGACGGATGAAATGCAGTTCTGTGTGTCTCTCTGTCCTCTGCAGATCAGCTGACTGTGCCCTCTTGCCATCCTTTGACCCTGAGACTGTCCTTCAGACAGGTAATATATCACCGTTATCATTGCAGCCCCTTGCATGTTGTTATGTAAATGTGAAGGCAATTGTTGGTCTCATGTCTGAGTCTGATGAAGATACTTTCCCTCCACTGCAGTGCAACAGGGAAACGCAAAGAGAGAATATTATACTGAAAAGGATTTAACCTTGGAAGATACCCACTTGGTTTGAACTGAAACTGCTGAGGCCTCATATCAGCTTCAGATAAACCTTTCCATACATCTTTGCTCACAACGAGGATACTGGATTTTGTCCCCAATCACTTACATTCAGAGTGCATTAGTAAGGGATCTAACGGCACAATTTGAACAGGAGGAATGATTACAGAAAGCAAAACCTGTTTCAATGTTCATATGGGCACCAGAAATATTTGTGAAATTGTGAACCTATATGTATCATCTCCTATGCTTGAAAAACAATATTATATTTTATATTCTTCTAAAACAGCTCATACAGTCAAAATAACAACCCAACGAGCAGCCTATTTTCAGCTTGCTTTCTTACTCACTATGTACTTACTTAGTTACTACTTTCTCTTGTGGCCATGAGCTTTAAATGGTGACTGAAAGAATGTAATCGTGGATCCAAGCAGGCAAACTAAGTTTCTTTGGCTTGGTTTCTGGGCTCACCCTGACCTGGACGATGTGGGTGGGAGGAGGATGCCTTGGATGTGTAGCCTGCTGACACCAACACCTGGACCCAAACAGACACTGAGGACGGATGAATGATGGATGGCTGTGCTCACTGTACTGAGCAGCCTGTGTCTGTGTGTTGGGCAGAGGTGAAAGGAGTCTTTGTTTGTGGTACCACCCTCCTCCCTCCACCAGCTCCTTTCATAATGTGACAGCATGTAAACAAACACTTGTGATTTATAACAGGCTTTTAAATCTCAAACCACCCTTCTCTCTCTCTGCCTCTCTCTGACTTTCTGCAGGGCATGAGCTGCTGTCGGAGCTGCAGCAGCGTCGTTTTAACGGCTCAGAGGGGGGAGGAGGAGGACAGGGAGGTGAGGAAGCAGCTGTCAGTCATCCAGGTGGACTGGACCTGGTCGAGCTCAGAATGATGGGCGGATAGATGACTAGGGGGATGAATGAATGAAGGGATCTTTATTGTTTTGGCCAAAAAAAAAAATCTAAGCTGTTGTTGGAGACAGTTGAATGCAGTCAGAGTACTATGTTGATACTACAGTATGACGCAGTCTATGAGAGTACTGCGTAGACT